TATATACTTCCTCTCACCACTCAATTGTGTTAATTATGTATAGATAACTCGTGTATCACCATCAGTCATCCTCCGTTCAGACTATTTCAGTATTGATATTTATTCTTACTAGTAATATGTAGCATGCGTATTTGCATCTTGTTGCGCCAAATCTTGAGTGTGCGATTTTTGCTATGTAAGAAAACACGAGTATGTTTAATATGATGATTCATGATGAAAATGCTCTAACTGATAGACTGTACTGATCCCATGACAATTAGTTCTGCGGGAAAATACTATGAATTAATCACCTCTTATTACAATTCACAAGTCTTGTAATCATAGGTATACTCTCTAATAACAACGCAGACTGCAGTCAGTATGCAGTCACATATTAGATGCTTCTGTCATTGACAATAGATTGATATTAGAGTTATTACTCACCAAGCTGATTCTGTCGTCAAACAAATCAATACTCATAATATAATATGCGATAGTTATAAAGTGCAAGTAGAAGGTGCGTAATGCTTACTCTTCTTGACGCCAACCTCTGTTTTTAAGAATCTCATTTGATTATCAGTCATAGCTCTATACATTTGAGATTATCACCTCATCCCCCACTTCAGGAGTCATTTTCAGTATGTTCATGTGCCACCTGTTTGTGAAACGGATTGTGAAATGTAAGCACTGTGTACTACAAATTTCTGGGGAAAAAACTGAATAGCCCTTTCTTCAGCTGAACAGGCTGAACAACATGTTGTGTATTATGTGCTTCACAAATTTAATTATCACACATGTACACATACAAAAGTTTCACAGAGGTGGGTCAAGATATAAGATTAAATTCATCACTTTCTATATGAATTATATTATAATACCTTTTTGAGACAGAGTCAGCTGGACGTAACATATCCCCAATGTCAAACCCAAGAACATTTTGGTCTGCATTGCTCAGCGCTGTAAAAGTATAATAACAATGTATTATATATATATAAACTATGCATGGATCCGTCTATATTAGAATTCTTGAATCATTTAACCATTTTTCATGACATGACATAATTGCAAAAGTGCAAACTGCTCTATTTATGAAATAAATAAATGTCTGAACTAGTACTAAACATTACTTACATAATCACATTATGTCAGAAATAGTTGTATTTATATATGTGTTCAACTTTGCAATTTAATTCACAGTAAGCAAACAATATTATTCACTGAGATTTTGACTGAATGAAAACATTACCTTTTAATATTTTGGTATCAGACAGGAAGTGTTGAGGAGAACAGTGAACACTGATGTTCACCTCATAAATGAGAATTGGTTTCTTTCCACACTTTTCCTACAAGAAAACAGAAACATTCAGCACAAGTTCATGTAACACTGTAAGAAAGCAAGATCTTACCATTTATTATGTATGAGCTATATACCATGACAGTTTGCAGCTCCTCAGCCAGGTTTTGTCCAGTGGTGCAGTCATACTGAACTTTAATTGACAGAAAATCTAAATAATTCTGAGAGAGAGATGCATGTGTTAGTCTAGTGGGGTGTGGAATCCATATTACTTTTCTCTCATCTCACACAGATGAAATTAACCATGTTTATCAAACAGCTTTATCTATTAAGAGAAGCTTTGACATAATGACATAACTACATTAGTATGAGTGATGAAAACAAGTTTTACTTTTATTCTTTTAATAGCTTATATTTGATGTGACTGTGTGATCCTACCAGTTGTCGGGAGTCACAGATGATTGGGATTTTACTGCCCTTTACCCCAACTGATACTTGCCCATCTGCAACAAATCATATTTAAATTCTGTTATTAATTTACCCTCTCCATTGAGTACACATTTTCCTCCCCGTGTAGGTAAATAGATATGAAAAGCTTTATCTCATCAAGCACTGTCATAATCACTCTGCATCTAATAAAGCTGGACAACTACAATACAGCAGAAGATGAAAAATGAAAAATATGATTATGTGTCAAAACAACTCTACTTTTGTCCTTTTATAGGAGTTTAGTTGCTGGTGGTGGTAATTAACCTCTAAGCTAAGATAAATCTTGTAAACATAAACATAAAGTAAGTAAAATTGGAGGGAAATGTGCATAAATTGCTGTGCAAGACTATTCATTTCTCCAGCCATGCATGGTTTCTTGTGTTTGAATGTTTGTAAAGCTTCAGTAATGTATTGGCACAAGCAGAAGATCAGAGGGAAAACAGTGGCACAAAGGTTAAAGAAATATTAGCACATTCGCATGTTTCAGTTTTTAAATATCAACTGAACAGATATTTCCCTTTTTAGTGAATATGTAACGACAAATTAATATTTTCCCATTCCAAACAAAAGAAAACTTTAATGTTCGGCTTCCTCATTCTGTTATCCAAACTCAGCACATAACGCAATAAAATACTGGTCTCCTACCTCGCCCAGGAAATAGCTGGTGGTAACGTTGATAGATCCTGGTGTGCGCGTCGAGAGCGGGGTGCAGCTCAGCACCCTTCAGCTCATCCAAACTGCTCAGTGTCAGCCAGGAGTCTCCCAGCTCTCCAAACTCCCCAAAAACAAACTCTGCATACTGCTGAAAAATGTCCACCAACTCCTGGCTGTCCCAGCCTCCATACTTTGATCTCAGAGCAACTGGCACTGTGGAGTCATGAAGAACAACCAGAGGCTGAAGGCCCACCTCCAGCAGCTGTCTCAGCAGGGTCTGGTAACAAGTAACCACGGCCTGTTGGGGCTGGCTGGGGAGGCCTGTAGGTAGAAGTTCAGCCCATGACAGCGGCACTTTGAAGTGAGTCACTCCTCTGCTCTGGAGATTCTCAAAATACTGTCTAGAGCCAGGAGGTATGGGATGACTGCAGTCAAAGGTGTCCAGCACATGCTCATTGGTCATGGGACCCGCAAGAAACATGGCCTGATTTTGACCATCATGTTTCTGGCACATTGACCCATACAGAGTTATCAAACACAGAGGGAGAAGTTTCCCCAGTAGCGACATATTGTCAGAGCGAGGGGAAGTGATCGAGCCCTTGGGTAGCCAAGCTTTTATAGAGGCCCTGTTTCAGTTAATATTCACTACTGTATGCTGGGGTCACCGCTGCTGTGAGGCTTTATGGTGTGTTTGGTAAGAGTGGTCACAGCCTTGAAAACTTCTGATAAAATACAAAGGGTCAAACAGGAGGCAGAAGAGATTTATGGTAACTAACATCTGAGGTCAAGGAGAAAATAGTAGAAAAAAATAAAGGACACAATTTGGTTTACTAGGTGTCACATTAAATGTCCATAGAGAGGCTGGTTATAGTTTTGTTTGTCAAACAGTGTGGCAAAACTATAATATCTCAGTATAATATTTTATAGTATAGTATATCCAGTAATTTTTTTTCATTAGAGACCACAAAATTTCAACCATTATATATATATTTATATATAATATTATAAATATTGATTACTTTTTTATAGTTTATATGTTACTACTAAAATGAAAACAAAAACCCAGATTTTTGTGCCACATGGATGCAATATGAAAGTCAATATTACAGTGGTAAAGACTTCAGGCAAAACAAGTATTTAAAATGACAAAATTACAGCAGAATAGAATAAAAAAAAAACCAAACCCTCCATCTATCTATATGGACAATTCTAAAGTAATTTTGTCCATCAGTCTTGTGTGAATTTTATTGACAGGTAAGGTAATCAACTGTTTGGGCTCCTAGGAAAAGAGTTCATCCTGAGGTCTGATAGAAAAAGATAATACAAATTCCCAAGGGTTTGTGAAGTCACTGCAGATAAAGGCTGTAATCATGATGGCTACACATGTATGCAAAACTGCAGCTTGATAGATTGGTGGTAATTCTAGTTATATTATCTTCAGGCACAATGACTTTCCTGTAAATCAGTTTCTTACAACAGAAATTCCAGTGAACTGAGATGATTTTTTTAATTGCACAAGAAAAAGGAATCTTCAGAATATAAATAAATAAAAAATAAAAAGTTCCTTTTGGCAGCTGAAATGCAAGTTGTTTTTATGTTTTTTTATCCACATATGTGCCAGCATATCATGGAGTAATGAAATTTATTATACTGGCTATCAAACTCTTACTCAACATTGTACCTTGACAAGTCTAAAGAGGCAGAGGTGGTTATTGTAGAGGTGTTACTTTGTGTCATCTATTTTAACACAAAGGGATTTTTTTTTTGTTGAGGCAGAAGTGTTGTCAGCACCGTCTGTACAGCACATTTGCAAATGTACAAAGTGGCCTTTAAAAATACATAAACAATGTTTATGACTGCTGATTTCATTCAGAATTACTTTCATCAAGTACACATGCAAATCAAGATACAAATTTAAAGGTGATTGGCACAGAGTTTGTACCAAGATGAATCAGTCATGTCTTCCAGCTGCTTGCAGGATGGGCAGGTGTTCCCCTTTCAGCAGCATGTGCATCAAAATACTCTGTATAATGTAGCTGAATTAAATCCATTAAATATGAATAACGAAAAACCCACAGGTAGCATGCAAATATATGCAAACATAAATATATTATGTCTATATTTAGTCTATCACTTTACTATTCTCTTCCTTTGTGACACAAATACCCACCATCTACATCTCGGAAGTCAGCTGCTGCTTTACCTGCATGCAACAAAAAAAAAAACAGTGTAACGTTTTATTAAAAAAGCAGTTTGCAACTGCATATTACATGAGCCCGAAACACAAGCAGAAGACAGGGATGCAGTAATAACCTGACATGTGAGTCCAGAGTCTGCCTGACTATCACACAGCTGTAATAAAAACACTATAAATTGCACCACTTGGATGTGATATTGATCTTAATTGTGTAACAATGCAATAACAAGAAAACACTACTGATTTAAAGAGCGTGGCTATCAGTGGATAATATCACTCAATCCTTTTCGAGCCACAATGAAGAACCTGTGGTGGGTTGTTGTGTGTCTGTACGTCTTGTGTGTGTGTGAGTGCTGGAGCAGTGGGGTGAATGGGCAGGAGGACTTCATGCTTCTTGCTGGCCCTCTGACAAAACAGCTAAGTTCAGACAGTGGAGTGAATGAAGCCTTTGACTGCAGTCATCCCATACCTCCTGGCTCTAGACAGTACTTTCAGTACCTCCAGAGTAGAGGGGTGACTCACTTCAAAGTGCCTCTGTCGTGGGCTCAGCTTCTACCTGCAGGCCTCCCCAGCCAGCCCCAACAGGCCGTGGTTACTTGTTACCAGACCCTGCTGAGACAGCTGCTGGAGGTGGGCCTTCAGCCTCTGGTTGTTCTTCATGACTCCACAGTGCCAGTTGCTCTGAGATCAAAGTATGGAGGCTGGGAGAGCCAGGGGCTGGTGGATATGTTTCAGCAGTATGCAGAGTTTGCCTTTCAGGAGTTCGGAGCACTGGCACAATCATGGGTGACACTGAGTGATTTGGATAATGTTTGGCGTGACTTGGACTCTGCAGATGTTCCCAAACCTTTGCAAAATGTCCTCCAGCTCAACAGGAACATTTACCAGCTCTACCATCAATGGTCTCCTGATGCAGGTGTGTAAAACCAACAGCTGAAGAGGAGACGATTAAAGATATGATTAACTGACTTAGTTAATGTTTTCAGGGTTGGTCAGTTCTCACTATTTTTTACAGTTAAATAGAAAAAGAATTAACTTAATTATTAAAAATATTATGTAATCATTAATATGTTAAGATATAAATTGTCTTTTCAATATGTCTTGAGAATTATGATTACTTTATGACCAGCTGGACCCTTCACCCCATTAGACCAACCTGTGTGCTCAGATTGCATGTGTAGATTATCATGCCTATGTCAGTAATCAGTCCAGGTGAGATCAATAAAAGAAAAAGGGGTTTTTCTGCTCAGCTGATAGGAAACTGAAGTCTGCCATATATGGCCCTGATATTACATTGTGTTAAGAATGTCTTCATGCTTGTATGTTCACAGGGAGGCATCTGTCAATTGGGTTGAGAGCTAGAGATGTGGCCATTATTTCTCAGATCAAAGCTTCAACAACAGTAAGATCTGTCCTCCTGTATATGTGCCTTTTGAACTTTCAGTAGTAACTTTCAGAAGAAAATTAACATTAGACATGGTTTCAACAATGTTATTAAGAGAAATTTTCCAGATTTTTTGCGGATATTAGGTCAATCTTGAATTCCACCTGTATAAATGGAAGCAAAATTTGTTACTAACCAATAAACTTTATTATTGGCAGAAAAACAACCCTTTTTCAGCTTATGGTCAGGCATAAATTTTTGGCCCTACTTTTTAGTATCTCCTTTTGTTCTTTCAGAAGAGAAAGACTATACATATCCACCAAATGTCTTTAAGAACTGACCAAAATTCTACTTTTTTTCTCATTAGATTTAACATACAGTATTTCAACTGATATTATACAAAGTTTTCCTTCATGTAAAGCTTCCATCTTTCCATCTCTAATGCAGAGCTTCCCACAGTTGTTTGTACTGCAGCACATGATCTGTTTTACTGATGTAGCCTCCCTGTCAGCCTTCCCCTCTGTACAGGTGTCCATCTGGTTGAATCTAGACGAGATCCTAGTAGTAAATCTATGCTGGCAAGAATGTTGACAACCTTTAAAAAACATTTTATGCCTCTCCTTATTTTAACTCTTGAACAATACACGCTTAAAGATCATGTGTCAGCAATATCTTACCTGTGCCTGTCTCTGCCCTCCTGTGGACACTCATCGTAACAACAAAACCGTCAGTTTTACCTGAAGTCAGATCCCTTCAGTGTATTTTACATGAACACAAATTAGGTCTGTGTGCATTTTGTATCTGTCTGTGTCTGTGTGCATCTTTTCTGTGGACATTTATTTTTATTTTCTTTCTGTGGACACTCTAATGGCCAGATGTTTGCATGTATTTGTTTTATGGCAGACTGTCAACCTGTCCGAGGTGTTTATCTGCTCTCTCTCTAATGCCTGCTGTTACCCGGTGCAACATCCTACTGGGATATTCTTCAGAAAAACTATTTAAAATAATAATAGATTTGAAAATAAAAGTTGTACATTTTGGGAATTTTCATAGACATATTTACCAATCAGAAACCATGCGTTACAACAGTTAGTCTCAAATGGATTTAACTGCACAAGCAATTTGTTTTTCATGAATGGACAGGAGTTTGATATCAAACTATTTTGTATCTCCTCTTTGGACCAGATGGATTTCCTGTCAGTGCAAATTGAATATAACTGTGCCTCCACATCAAGCTTTGCAAAGGAACTGAGGAGCTTACAGGTACAGTGAACATGACAAGGTGTTTCTTTTCACTTTGAATTTCATAGCTTTCATTGCTACTACACTGCAACCACATGCATGTTTTGTTATGTCGTAGATGTCCAGTGGGAACTTGCCTATCCTGATATACAAGATGACTGTTCATGATTGTTCCTACAGTCAGTTCCAGCTCCTTGGGGATTTCCTGCAAGGTACAGTAATGTCATTACATATATATATATATATATATATATATATATATATACACATAGTAATATACATACATGTATATATGTATATTACTACTTGGAAGTATCTTACTTATCTAATTAGTATAAAATTTATTTGTATTTGTATATGTAAAAATTGACACTACCTCTCTATGTTACAATACTGCTTCTCCAACAAAGTCTGTACTGTTATAGTGACAATTTTTTTTAAATGAAATTAAATTATTCCAATATCACTGAATAATGTTTGCAGTTGATACATGCTATCAAAATAATCTCTAGTGCATTGTGCTTAAGGTGGAAAATTTGTTGTGAACTTTTACCACAATCGTAACACAATTTGCCGTAAATGCAACTATTAACAGATTGTAAGTAACATCATAACAACAACCCTATTTGAATCAATGTGTTTTTAATGATCAAAGAAGATAATGATTGAGGCTAGCCAAGGCTAGCCTGTTGTAAACTGCAATATCGTAAACATTTACAGTACAATAATCATAAAGGTCTATTTCCTTCGGAGTGTTATCATATGGCAGTGATTTGTGTAAATTGTTCTTGCTATGGGCCAATAAAGTTTTACAAGAGAGATCATCTGCTAGGTGGCACAGAGCCTTACGACTTGGTTTTGTATTTCATGAATCAAACTGCACAATTACAGTTAATTACACAATAGGTTCAGCAGTCGATACATATTGTTTAATGTAAAAAAAAAAAAGGTCATTACAATTTGACTGTGGTAAAGAAATTTCAAAACGCTGACTAGTTAGATGAGACCATCAACTTAAATGACTAATGTCTGTAACTCTGTTGTTAACACAGTCCTGAACAACAATGACCTGAATATTGTGGGATGTGACATGAAGGACATGTTGGGTAAGCTGGACATGGAGGATGCTCAGGCCAGGTAAGAGTTTATCTTGATAAAAATGCACTTCTTCCTAAGTATGTCAAAGGATTCCTCGTTTATTTTAGTTTTATGACCTTAATTTCTCCAAAACTGACAGCATTGAAGGCAACACAGGGATGACAGGGTTCAGAAACAATTATCAGAGTGTGTGGGATAAGTTTGAGGCCCAGACTACAACAGAGCGAGATGCTTTCCTCACAGAATCCTTCCCTGCTGACTTCCAATGGGCCACCTCCAGTGAGTCCTTCAAGGTTGAAGGTGGCTGGTCAGAAGGTGGAAAGGGAGAGACCATTTGGGACCGCTTTGGTCACAAAGGCCTGGCCAGTGTGAATCAGACAGCTGATCTAGCTTGTGACAGTTTCCACAAGGTGGATTACGATGTCTACCTCCTGAGAGGTCTTCATGTCAACAACTACCAGTTTTCCATCTCCTGGGCTCGTATTTTCCCCTCAGGCCACAGAGGCAGCCAATCAGAAAAAGGGGCTGTCTACTATGACAAGCTCATCAATGCACTCATTGAATCTGGCATACAACCTGTGGTCACTCTCTACCACTGGGATCTGCCTCAGGCACTTCAGGACTATGGTGGATGGACCAACACTTCCATTGTTGAAGCCTTCAAGGACTATGCAGACTTTTGCTTCTCCAGGTTTGGAGACAGAGTCAAGACCTGGAACACATTCAGTAGCCCCTGGGTGGTGAGCCATGCTGGCTATGGCACTGGCAAACACCCCCCTGGAGTAAAGGACTATGTGGTTGCATCCTATCAGGTGAGAGTAATATCATTACTCTAATGTAAATATAGACTGTTTCATTGTTATTCTGGTGCACTCAGTAGTTTTGCCTTTTCAGGTCACTCACAATCTGCTCAAGTCCCATGCTGAGGCCTGGCATGTCTACAATGACAAGTACCGGATGAAACAAGGAGGGAAAGTGGGCATTGCATTGAACTCTGACTGGGCTGAGCCCATGGACCCGTCCAGACCTGAAGACATAGCAGCTGCAGATCGCTACCTGCAGTTCATGCTGGGCTGGTTTGCACATCCCATATTTGTAGATGGAGATTATCCTGCAACACTCAAGACTCAGGTTGAAGAGAAAAGAAGAGAGTGTCCCCACTCTGAGCCTGCAAGACTTCCAGTTTTCACTTCTGAAGAGAGAAAGAGGATACATGGAACAGCTGACTTTTTAGGGTTAAACCACTATACCTCCCGTTTGGTCAACAAGAGTGATGGAGGCTGCACCCCTGGTATTCAGGGGGTTGGTGACCTCCAGGCACATGTGGACCCATCATGGTCCTCTACAGCTTCTGACTGGATATATTCAGCACCATGGGGTCTCCGAAGGCTTCTAAACTACATTTCCGCAGAATACTTGAATGTTACCAAAGTGCCTATCCACATAACTGGGAATGGGATGCCTACTGAGCACAGCGGGGACACTTTCAATGACACCAGCAGAATAGAGTACATGAGGAGTTACATCAATGAGGCCTTGAAAGGTATGCTTTGTGTCTTGGACCCTTTAAATACCTGATTATATGTGTGTTTTCTACTTTTAAGCTTTTGAAGACTTGTCATACAAGGTCATGTTAAATGAGTTTTAGTGGCTCAATGTTTTTGTTCTCTCAACAGCTATACATTTGGATGGAGTAAATGTGCAGCAGTTTACTGTCCAGTCACTCATGGATGGCTTTGAGGGTCCACAAGGATACAGTGAACGCTTTGGACTCCACCATGTCAACTTTGACCTGCCTGACAGACCCAGGACTCCAAAGCAATCTGCCTACTTTTACTCCCAAGTCATTGAGAAAAATGGTTTTGCTTCCAAAAGCCTGATGGTACCTGCACCAGAACTGAAAAACATAAGGTCAAATAAAGTTTCCTCAATGCCACCCTCCACCGTCCCATCACAAGCCATGGATGTCTGGAGGAAATTCTCAAAACAAAGCAAATTTCAGAGAAAACTCTACCACTATGGTACCTTCCCAAAAGGCTTCAGTTGGGGAGTATCGTCATCAGCTTACCAGATTGAAGGTGGCTGGAATGCAGATGGGAAGGGGACCAGCATCTGGGATACATTCACCCATAAACCTGGCAGTATTCCTGGTAATCCCAGTGGAGATGTGGCCTGTGACAGCTACCACAGACTTGATGAAGACCTCTACATGCTACGAGCTCTGAGGGTGAAGTCCTACAGATTCTCTCTGTCCTGGTCCAGGATTTTTCCTGATGGTCAGCGTACCTCACTGAACCAGAGAGGTGTTGACTACTACAATAGACTCATTGATGGCCTCGTAGCGTATAATATTACACCCACGGTGACACTCTATCACTGGGACCTTCCTCAAGCTTTGCAGACCCTCGGTGGATGGGAAAATGTAGATATGATTAACATTTTTAATGACTTTTGTGACTTCTCCTTCGCCACCTTTGGAGACAGAGTGAAATTTTGGATCACCTTCAACCAGCCTTACACAATTGCATGGTCAGGATATGGACTTGGACAGATTCCACCAAATGTTAAAAAGCCAGGACTTGCTCCATATAGAGTTGCACACAACCTGATAAAAGCTCACGCCAAGGCCTACCACACATATGACAATAAGTATCGCAAATCCCAAGGTGGTCTAGTATCCATTGCCCTAAATGCTGATTGGATTGAACCTAAAGATGTTAACGTTCCCAGAGAAGTGGCGGCTGCTGACCGCGCTCTTCAGTTCCAACTGGGCTGGTTTGCACACCCTATTTTCAAGAATGGTGACTATCCTGACGCAATGAAGTGGCAAGTTGGAAACAAAAGTGAACTCCAAGGTCTTTCAGAGTCAAGACTACCTTCCTTCACTGAGGAAGAAAAGAGCTTCATCAGGGGAACTGCTGACATGTTCTGTGTAAATCACTATACTACAAAGATTGCACGTCATGCTACCTTGAGACTTACCCCACAATCTTATGAATATGACCGGGATTTGTCAGAAGAAGAGGAAGGTGATTCACCAACTACTGCCATCAGTAAGCAGAGAGCTGTAGCATGGGGCCTGAGGAGACTCCTAAACTGGATCAAAGAGGAGTATGGAGATCCAGAGATTTACATTACTGAGAATGGTGTAGCTACAGAATCCAAGACAACTTGGGATGACTCTGCTAGAGTATTTTATTACAAGACCTATGTTGATGAGGCTCTCAAAGGTACATTAACTAGATTTCTTAAGCTAAATATTAATGAATGTCATGACTGTTTAGAATTTTAGATCATTTATTTCCTCGTGTGTGTGTTTTGATAATAGCCTATGACCTTGATGGTGTGAAGGTGAAAGGATACATAGCAACATCTCTCATGGATTCCTTTGAGTGGCTTAATGGGTACAAAGTTGGATTTGGGTTACACCATGTGGACTTCACCAACCCACATCGGCCAAGGACACCCAAGTACTCAGCTCATTTCTACTACCAGGTCGTAAAGGACAATGGTTTCCCTTCACCAGATGATGAGAAGATGCTCTATGGACATTTCCGCAAAGATTTCATTTGGAGTACTGCAACAGCGTCGTACCAGGTGAACTGTTTAGATCAATGCCTGATCAGGGAATTGCATGTATATTCCTGACACTGATTTTGTCTACTTCAATGTCGATTTTACTTTTACTGTCTCCAGATTGAAGGTGGATGGAGAGCAGATGGAAAAGGTCTAAGCATCTGGGATAAGTTTTCTCACACTCCTCTCCGTGTGTTCAGTGATGACAATGGGGACATAGCCTGTGACAGTTACAATAAAGTAGAGGAGGATGTTGCTATATTGAGGCAACTTAAGGTGACCCATTATCGTTTCTCCATATCTTGGCCGAGGGTGCTTCCTGATGGCACTACCAAGCACATCAATGAGGCTGGACTCAACTACTACCACAGACTGGTGGATGCACTGCTTGCTGCAAACATCAAACCTCATGTATAACTCCATAATTCTTGTAGTTTTTGCCAGCATCTCAAGAAATGTTTACAATAGAAAAGTTTGTTAAATTTGGAAAATCTTAATTATGTTTGCTGTCAGATCACACTCTACCACTGGGATCTTCCGCAAGCTCTGCAGGATATTGGGGGCTGGGAGAATGAGACGATTATTGCCAAATTTAAGGATTTTGCTGACCTCATCTTTAGCCGCCTTGGCCACAAAGTCAAATTTTGGATCACCATTAATGAGCCATACAATATAGCCAACGTAGGCCATGGCTATGGCGCAGCTGCCCCAGGTATGTCTTTATGCAATGCTTTCCATTTTATACTCTATATCACACCAATGCATGTCTGTTTGTTTGGTGAGAAAAATAGGTTAAAAATGGATCAAAACAGTATTGCTAACTAGCACTGCTGTTTATCATTTTCTTCTACTGCAAGTGGCACAAGAAATAAGATCATTAAGGAAACTAAAACTGTGGCCAAGTTTAAGATTATAATCTGTATATTTTGAAACTGAATCTGTTTTTGTAAACCAATCTTTAATCTTTCTAGACCTTTCTAAACCACAGAGACAAAAAGCACATAGCTAAACAAATCTGCAAATGTGGCTATTACTCTGTGTGTGTTCAGGAATCAGTTTCCGACCAGGCACTCTGCCCTACATTGTGGGTCACAACCTGCTTAAAGCTCATGCTGAGACCTGGCACCTCTATAATGACAAATACCGGGCCAAACAGAAAGGAATTATCTCAATCACCATCAACTCTGACTGGTCAGAACCCAGAAATCCCTACAAGCAGGAGGACATTGATGCTGCGAGACGTGTGGTGCAGGTATAATTTAAAAAGAAAAAAAGGGACTTTTACAGTTTATAGTTTGCAGGCTCTTCTTCTGTATGCAAGTTCTTTTCATATTTTACTACAGACATATATGGCAATAGTTGGAGTCTCTAATAGCTGTTGTGTGTCTCTGTACAGTTCTATATTGGCTGGTTTGCCCATCCCATATTTAATGGAGACTACAGTGACATGATGAAGACAATCATTCGAGAGCGAAGCTTAGCTGCTGGTCTGCCAAAATCTCGGTATTATAAAAACTAACGATAAATTCTGAAAGAAATAATGGAAATCGTCATATAACATAAGATAAAATAACTTTCTTGTTTTATTTTTATGAAGTCTTTACTATGTAGTTACCTTTAAAACCAATTAAGAAGTACCTATAATTGGCAACATGATTTTTTTTTTTACTATGATGGCATATGGGTATAACCAGTGGTGCTTTGCATATTACAATTATCAGGTAAATTCACCTATTTCACTTCATTTTCTCTAGGCTGCCTGAGTTTTCTCCTGAGGAGATAAAGAGAATTAAGGGTACCTATGATTATTTTGGGTTCAACCATTACACCACTGTCCTGGCATTCCCTGTGGACTATGGAAACCTTCAGCACTATGATGCTGATAGGTAAGCAAGAACTACATTCCCACAGTACAGTAACCTCATGAGCTATACTCACTGGTTATTTATTTAGCTAATAAGTAATATTTACATATATTTAACTTCAAATATACAACTTCAATATATTGGAAATAACATAATTTAACTGATTTGATGCTCACAGGGGTGCAGGGACAATAGCTGATCGTATCTGGCTGGATTCAGGCTCATCCTGGCTGAAGGTCTCACCATTTGGATTCCGGAGGATTTTAAACTTTATAAAGGAGGAATATGGAAATCCACCTATTATCATCACTGAGAATGGCATGTCAGAGCGTGGGCCTATTGACCTAAATGATATTCACAGGAGCTACTACTATGAAAAATACATCAACCAGGTGCTGAAAGGTATGAAACTAAAACTTTCATTGAATATAATTAGGATTAGGTCAGGCAGAGAGAGACAATTACCAACAATTTGACAGTAAAGATAGTGTGTATTTGCATCCCCAAAGCTGTTTGTTTTCTCCTTCCAGCTTACTTGCTAGACAATGTGGATATCCGTGGTTACACAGCTTGGTCTCTGATGGACAACCTAGAATGGGCCACTGGCTTTTCAGAGAGATTTGGCCTTTTCTACGTCAATCGATCAGACCCTAAACTTCCTCGCGTGGCCAAGACCTCTGTTGCCGTCTACTCTACCATCATCAATTGCAACGGATTCCCCGACCCCACCTCAGGGCCCCATGAGTGTCTAAACCCTGTGCCTGAAGGTAAATTGAAGCAGAGATGCTCAGATACCTGTTTTAATTGATCAGTGTGAGAAACTGAAGCTCTAAAAGCATTACTTAAATTAATTATGTAACAGTATATACAGTATCTACTGCAAGAGCCAGTAGACTGTTAACTTAGCATGACATCAGCCAGCACCTTTAAAGCTCAATAATTAAAGGACTAATTAGATTTATTATATCTCTTTAATCTAGAAAAAAAAAAAAAAGAAAACCAAAAAGTAGCAGTTTTATATAGTTGTGTGCCGGATTTCTTAATCAAGAGCACAGACTTCCTGGAGTCTTGGCAGCGTATTAAACAAGAGATATAACATGTTAATGGGGAAGCTTTAGGGGTGCTGGTAGGTGGGTTTTGTTACCTTTGGACAGAGCGAGTCTAGAGGTTTACTCATGATTTCAGTCTTTATGCTAAACTAAGGCTAACAGTCTGTGGCTTCACATTTAATGTAGTGATTTAAGAGTGGTATGGATCTTCTCAGCTAACTCTCAACAAAAAAGAGAATAAGCATTGCTTTAATAGAACACAGTGATTCAGTGATGGTAGAAGTACAGTTACTGTCAGCAATCTGTTCAAAATGAATATGACCTCAGTGTCTTTTCTGCAGGAACAAGTGCGCCGATCACTGATGACACTGTGAGATTCCTGGGTATGGAGCTGTCCACCAGTGATGCTGAGGTCGGACTTAACACCACTTTTGCTCTGCTGATTGTTGCAATGCTCGGAGCTGTTTGTTCATCCTTTTGCTTCTTTATGGCAAGAAAACAATCCAAGAGAAAACAGTATTTAGAAACTTTCGACATGAAGATGAAATTTTGATAGCAGTCACGCTGAGTTGTACGGAAGTCCAACATACACCAAAATGTATCAGTAAATGTCTGTACTGCATCTTAATATAAACACCATTTTATAAAATTTCCTGCATGTTAATAAAGTTGAAAATAACATGTTTTGAAGTAAAAAAAAAAAAAAACACCAAAGACTTTTTGATTCCAACCGCAGTCTCACACTCACACCTTTTAACTTTATTCTACCAGTGGCTGGTGGATAACAAATTTGCCACCTAAGTATTTTTAATAGATATGCTGTGGTTTCTTTATAGCCTCCATAAACCCCCCACCCCACCCCACCCCACCCCCCCGTGAGAACATTTGGCAACCAGAAGAAACACAACCACAGCAACGCCTGCAGGGAGAGGCTTTTAAATAGGAGAGGATCATTTCATTTTGGCTGCCAACCATATTATTTCCAAAACATACCCACCGAATATCGCATTATATAAAACTACCTTATTAAATATTTCATGATTTGTTTTTGAATACAGACATATCAAACATAACACCACCTTCTGGCCCTGCACAATATGATCCAGAGAGGTCTTGAACTGTTTTTTGTGTTGTTAGAAACCCTATCTAAGTATATGAGTATCAGCTGCACTTACATTGTGAAACAAGATATTGCACCATACATGAAATACTGCAACGTGACTTGCAGAAGTGAGATCTCTTGCATTGCACAATAATGGCTGTATTTTCTGTTACTAATCATCAGTTTGGTGTCAGGATGTTGAATTTGTTCATGTTAGGAAAAAAACAACTTTCAGTTACATATTTCAGGGCTGTTGCTCTTTTATAGAGCATGGCACTTTATAACTTATAAATTGCCTAATCCTGAGTACAAATTGATTTGGGGGAGATACAGACCTTCTAATTTTAAATCTTTTAACATAAATAATCCTGTGAAGCAGACCCTAGTCTCCCACCTGTGATGCCAGAGAGGTTTACTGTTGATCTGACTAAATGAAGCAGTAAAATCATGGCAACCATTCACAAACTAGTGCACCACCTCAAGTCCTCTACCTGTAGGAACATGTGCAAAGTTTGTCTGATGTCAACATTACCCGCAGTAAATATAACACACCCAAGTCTCTTTTAATCACTGTACTGATCTTCTATCTAGTTTAACTGAGCCAGCTGTTTATTAAATCCTTTAAAAAAAACCTGGTCAACATTTTCATACCTGTTTAACTGAAAACCTCAAAATGTTGTTGGATTTTAATTGAAACAGCAACAGCCTCTCTAGGTTAGATTAGTAAGATAATACAGCTTCTATATGAAGAGACCTTCACCTTACAGAGATGAATATATTCACCCATTTCTTTTATGCCTATAGGTCCATTAAAAAAAGAAAACAACTAAATACATACATAACTGTAATTGGAACTGAACAATTTTCAAGTAAATAAAACAAGACAAACCATTTGAAAACTGGTATTTGTTGAAAAAATTTATTTTAAAAACTAACCACAAAGTACTATCAATACAAAAAGTATAAAAAGTACAAAAAGCGTTGCTCAAAAATAACTTGAGATGACAATATTTGAGTTGGCACTGATGGCACTGTGGGTATGATTCAGAATACAAAAGATGGCATCTTAGTAGAGAGCATTCAAGCCACTGAATTCACACTGAAATGATTATATCATTTACAACCCTCATTGAGACTCTGGAACAGTCATAACACTAATCCAAAAATCAGCTTCACTTTCAGACATGGAACATTAACATGAAATTACATTTATTATCCCTTATTTAACCAACAGATACAATTATAATTTGGGTCCATACTGAAAAAAAAAAACATCTGTTGGTCAAAGATGATATGCACCCATTACAAGAAGCTGCAGGTTACTCAGTTTTACAAGAATGTTTTTACAAAAAAAAAAAAGCTGTTGCAGCTGAAATGAGTTGTACCGACCTACTTTGAGAATTCACTAGTCCATGGATTGAATCAGGCTTTGGGGGACTAAGACAGTCGTGAATGTCATTCTTTGAAAATAATTAATAATAAAAAATAAAAAAATGATAAAATGTTGGCCACAGTGACGAGAGCCTCTTTTCAATACCACAATACTCTAAACTAATACAAAAATAAAGAACAGTATCAAATACAAGTTTAAAACAATACAAGACAATATCAAGAGTTACATGTTTTTCAAGCATTACCCAGGTTTGTTTACTCCTTTGGACAAAGGCACCCCAAGTGTGTTCCGGTTACAATGCCAGGCACCAGACTTGGGAATGTTGACTGGTCCAGTGCCAACATCGTGGAGAGAGGAAAAAAAAAAAAAAAAAAAAAAAAAAAAAAAAAGAGACACACTCGAAATAATCTTTGTATGAAAACACCTTAAAAAAAAAAAAAAGTCTTCATCAGCATGACAATAAATCCAGTACCTTTCTTTTATGAGTGGTGCCTCGTCCAATGACCTTTTGTTTGACGAGATTCAACTCTTACAGTTTAAGCATTGTTTTGTTTTTTTTGCACTACAATTGGCTTGGCCTTGCCTTGACAAAATGCCATAATATGGAGTTCCAGTTTAGGTCTAAGGCAAACTTGAGATGCACTCACTGTGAACTTCCAACAGAGAAAAAAACTCTTAAAAAGAACTAATAGGTCTAAGTCTCATAATAAAAATAACAAAAATGAATAGCTGCCCTGAGGGAGAAGTACGAGTTAACCTTAACCGTTCTTGTTGCACAACGGTCGTTTGTAAGCACTTTGGATCTTCAGACAGGCTGGTGTCTCAAGTATTGCTGGGTTGAGACGACCATTCTCCTCCTTGTTCGACTCGACGTTCGACCACAGCCGGCCGTAACACTGGAAGGCTTGGGCTGACTTCATCCACCTCAAGCAATTACATGACGTCACACACACACACACACACACACACACATATACACACACTCTTTGTTTAATTCCCTTATGTGCGCTCACTGCTCCTGATGTGAACTGATCTGCTGGTGACGACCTACGCACGGAGACCTGTGAACATAGGTGGTGTCAGTGTTGGTAAGTGTTATGTCTGTTGTCCGTCACAAAATAAAGATGAAAGCCATCGTGTAGTTGAAAAGAAATGAACCTATGAAGCCTCACCTTTCTCACACGTACTGCTCTGCTTCTCCTGGGCGAAGTTTAGTCTGTTCTGCTCGACTGCGGTACCGTTCGACTCTGGGCTGCTGCTGCGTGACGGGCTGTTCTCCTCATTCTGGTAAGCCATGTCCAGATGCTGCTGGGCCAGTTTTAGGTGTCTGCGCAGCCTCTCCAGCTCCCGCGATGAGGCCTCATCCCCAAACGACTCGCGGCCTGAGTCTCCCAAGTTATCCCTAAAGCCCATTTTTCCTGTTGGGTCCTTCTTCAGAGCTGTGTGGTAGCCTGGAGGCGCAGAGGGCTGGCGGCAGATGGAGGACCTCTGGCTGGCCAGAGCTGGGTGACGGGGGGTGGGAGGCTGGGGCCGCGGTGCACAAAAGCAGTCACGAATACCGCTGATGCCGAGGTGGAGGATCTCCAACATGGTGAAGAGCAGACACAAGGCGCTGACGGCGTACATAATGAGCAGGAAGATTGTTTTCTCTGTGGGGCGCGAGACGAAGCAATCCACTGTGTGCGGGCAAGGAGAGCGCGTGCATACATACGATGGTGCCACCTCCAGCCCATAAAGGATGTACTGTCCGAAGAGGAACGAGGCCTCAAAGATGGCACGTGATAGCAGCTGGAACACGTAGACTTTCATCAGGCCATCTCTCTTGATGCGACGGCGTCCATCGTGCTTTTTGCTGGGCTTCTCCACAACTTCCTTTTCCTTTTCGTGCTCAATCTCCTCCAGGATCATGGGGTCCTCTTCCCCATTATCCTCTGCTTCCTCGTAGTCCCGGTTGGCACCACGGCTCACTATAGGCATCCTCTTCCTGCCCCGGGGCCGGTAGTCATCGTCCTCCATGCGGGCGATCTTATGCATAGCAAAGCCAAGGTACATGATGGTGGGGGTGGTGATCATAATCACCTGAAAGACCCAGAAGCGAATGTGCGACAGCGGCGCGAATGCGTCGTAGCACACGTTTTCACAACCAGGTTGCTGTGTGTTACACACAAATTTACTCTGTTCATCGTAGTAGATTGACTCGCCCCCGACCGCTGTCAGCACGATGCGAAAGACGATGAGGAGGGTGAGCCAGATTTTGCCTACGAAGGTGGAGTGATTGGAAATCTCATCCAACAGACGTGTGAGGAAGCTCCAGCTCATTTTGCCACTGGAACAGGAGGGAACCTCTCAAACCTGAGCAAAGAAAGGGACAAAACTGTTTTCAGAGGTTGTTTTTAAATATCTTTACAAAAGTGGTCACTGACATAAGGAAGCATCTGAACTGTTTTATTTCATCAGCACTGAAAACACTCAATCTCAATAACATTTTGTCATGAACACACATCAATATACCAAGCAAACAAAAAAAGTGATTTTAAATGACTTAGACAAGTTGGTCAAAATCATCTTAAATGAGGACAAATGTTGACCAATATGAAATAAGCTGGAAACAAAAGTTGAATACAAATATAAGGTATCAGGTTTCCCTGCACTCCTACATTATTATCACTGATTTAAATTAAGTTTTATTATTAATTTTGGTCTATCACTTAAAACTTGCTCATCTTGAGTCCATGTGGTATTGCACAAGAGTGCCACATGGCGGAGCTATTGTGTCACTGTTACCTTGAACCATCTCACACCAGTCCTCACTGCTGTGACAGGACATGCTCAGGGGAAAGAGCCCTGAGAAAGTCTCAGTAGATGCTATCCCAGAGTCATTCAACCACAGCCTCACTAATCTGAGCACTGGAATGAAGACATGTTGTACCAGGACAGTAAGGAGGGTGTGTGATGCATATCACACAGATAAAAGAAAAAGGTGTTTTCAAAGTCAAAGTTATGGAAACTATAGCCATATGTCACAGAGTAGCGGCAAATATCCAGAGTTGTATTCTATAACCTATGAATTAATGACCGTAACCAGGATTACAACACTTTTCCCACTGTTTCAAAATAGAAATATTAGTGTTCAGTGATTGGTGCTAAATAACACAGCTCTCTTTACATCATCCACCACATGTAAAATGCCACAGGTACTGTATCTGACCATTCCACAAACACTGAACCAATATCACATTCAGTCTGATAGTCATGGTTGAATAACCTGAGTGGTACTGCAAAGAAAAAGTCAGAGCTGACTGTTAAAACTCCACTGAGGTAATGAAGAGCTCCTGTGGTTTCTCACCATTTGAGACCAACCTCATAACTTCTGCTGAGTAATTATCCAACTATACTACCATGCTTTGGGCCACGTAGCTGAACAACAGCAACAACGGTGTTTATTGTAACTTCGAAAAGATTATGCTACTCCATCCCTCACCTCTTCAGACCTACTACATTTCTTTATGTCTTCAATTCGCAGCAAGATAACATAGAAAATCAAACTGAATGCTCTCTGTTCTTGTTGCTTTTCAGAGTTAAAAGCAATCATAAGCGTAATAAAAAACAAAAAAATTCTAACAAAAAGCAGAAATCTTGCAACCTGTTGATTGATCTAATGAGTTTGCAGCTATCTTTTTTATTTTATTTTTTTTATTGTTACTTTAATGTTCATTCCACCAATGTGATGGCTTATTAATCTTTTCCATCAAAGCCTTCTGTAAGACATAATTGTGACCAAAGTTACTGAATCCGAGTTAAAATAAATTATACAGAAGCAATTGAGGACCCGTTGAGTAAATCCAAAGAGGCAGCGCCTTATCAAAGATTACCACAAGATTAAATATCCTTTAAATCTCATTATTCCTGCACGGATAACACTTCAGGTAATTTAACTACTACGCGTAGGGGACCTCAAAAACCAAAGAAATAAAGGGTTATCTAATATATATATATATATATATATATATATATAAAACATACATAAACACACAAAGCTTAAAACTGTTACAATTAATCTAGTTTCAATATTCAACCAGTCTTATTATTCCAGCTATTGTGAAACAGACTCATCATTTATAATCCTAATAAAAAGGCTCATCAACAGTAGAGCTGATGATAATATAATTAATTGGATCATCAACCTTCAATGACACAGAAAATCAAGTCAAGTTAAATAACTTTAAAGCACACCAGTGAGGGCTGTGAAGGTCTGCAGCCTATAACAACTGTTTCTCATCTACATCCATAATGCATCAGGTCAGATTATGATTATAACTTTAAGTCCAAACGACAGTATTTGGTTGCGTGGTTGTTAAACTTTTACATGAAAAGACAACTGTTTTGAAAACAGCAGCTACCTTACTGCAAATCTATGTATATTAAGTCCAAAGAATATAGTCTGCGTAAATATGACGGAATTGTTGTAGTTACATGGTTTAATTTTAACTCGATAGCAAGTCTTAATACACAAGGCAAGTGGCACAGTGTTGAAGGGTTAGTATACTCCATCAGAGCTACTTATCAGATATCTTTGAACCCCCCCACCCCCCACCCAAACCCCCAGAACCTTTCAGATGTTGGATTACGGGCGGCTTTGTGCTCCCATTTCTGTAACTTTCCAAAACTGGCTGTCCAACATTCACACTCACTTTATTCTGTGGACTGGACATATGTGCCGAGGTGAGACAGTACGCTGCATTTGAACCGTCCTCCTCTCTGTTCAGATCAGGTTTAAACACCTTTGACTTCCACATGGCCAGACAACACATCTAACGAAACACTTCTTTTCCAGTATAACACGGCCCTAAGGCTCTGCAATAGCTATGTAAATACATAGTGCTGAACATTAGAATCCCACATTTTTAAACCTGTCCTAGGAAGTGGGGAAGCTTGTAGTATTGCTTGTAGTACGATATTGCTTTTTGGTGTTAAGATGAAAAATTATGTTCACACTGTGATGGCAGTGGCACAATATTTCTTTAAATTGTTCAATGATAGATAAAAACGATAAAAAACAAACTCAAATGGAACAAATAAGGTAAAAATGACAAAGTAGTGCTCATAGATCCCATGACAAAGTACCACTGAGAAGACTAAAGATGTTGCATCACGTTTAATAAGAATGGGTTGTGTTGGGCAACTCCCAGGTTTGAATGGCAGTACTGTGTGAATGTTGCATCTGATGTCATGTTTGGGGGGGGGGCACACGACTAGCCTTTGATAAATAAAAGGGTTAGGATGAAGCACAGAAGTTTCCATTGTGTAACAGTAATTCTTGTACAATGAACAATCTAATCAATCATCTGCTTTAGAGATGAACTCAATCTTGAAGACTCAGTGGTTGCTCTTAGACTCTGAAGAAATCATTGATATTTAGTTTGTGGTGGAATCTGCCTGTAATCTGTGTTTACATGAAGAAAAGAAAAAAAACTCATACTGTTGATCTGCTATCTTTACCAGTAATGTTAGTATGCAGTCAAACTAATTTCTGCATGTTTTTCCACAAATATTTCAAACATAGTTGCCCGTATTCACTACTGATCATTTTTACTCGGTGACTAACACTGACATTATCAGTCATGTGTGGTTTCTGCAGAGCAGCCTTCATGCAGCTATATCCTGCATGAGAACAGTTGCACGTGAATAACAGTATGACACATTTCCATATCAAGATAACTGACAAAACTTGTGGCATTTGGTTTTTAGCTGAAAATGTAAACAGAGGAAAATTTAGCACCAGCTCAATTATATGTGCGGAATCAAGTTTAATAGCTCCTGAGCTATATTCTGCCATCACAGTGATCATCTTCAATACTTACCAAAAATGCTAAGGAATAGAAGTTAACAGCACACTCCGCTGTCTGTAATCTTGGCTAACGGTTGCCACAAGCCACAGTCAGAAATGATATCAATGTCCAAGGAAAACCACTGCCTGACATGCAAGAGTCTGCCAAGGTGTGTCAACTTGATTAAAAAAAAGAAAAAGACTCCCACACAGAGACAGCAAATCAGACAGCTGGAATCTGTGACTCTTAACTAAATTATTGTTTGTTTGTTTTTTTGTCATCTCCACAGTCATGTGTTGTTAGACTGACACATGGATGGACTTGTTTGTGCTGCTGCTGTTGTTCAGTCTCACTGCACTTGCTAAAGTTCTTTCAGACAATGCAAACAAAGTCTGTTTAAACATGAGCTGTTGAAGAGGCACTGCAGTGTTATTTAGTCAGTCCACATAATGACAAACAACCATTTCTCAACTGCCTATTCAAATAAGGAGCAGGCTTTTAGTTTATGTGTGTACAGTGTTTAGTCTTAGGGTGGCCACACCAAATTATAAGGTAGGTTTTGTCAGGTGGTTGGTTGATGACACCTCTCTTTCAGTAAGATAGGTGAACACAATGTGCTGGAAAGATGTAACTGAAATAGCTCTTCCTGCCATAGAGTGAAAAAAGGGGGACTTTCACTAAATACAGATCAGATTAATCAACTCCATAAAATACAAACTGCTACACTGTGACCAATACTAGATTTTTCAGGCTGATACCAATATTAATGCTTGATTTGATAAACTACGATTTTAGTATTTTTGAACATTAACCATTAACCACACTAACGGCCTACATACACACCAATACCAATATATCTGCAATAAGCTCATATCACCCTGGTTAATTTATCAGTCTGATACTATATACTACCAAAACAAAACATTTAAGCTTAATTTGAAAGAGCTTCTTTGATGTTAACATCTTAAAGCTTGTGGATTGCCAAATAAGATTTGTTCAGTATTGATCAGGTGGACAAAAAAATCTGATAACTTGATAATGAGTTCTGCATGTCTCCACCTCAAAACATACAACTACATCCCATCAGTTTCAGTCCTTTTCATGTCCTGTCCACTGAGGCAGTCTCTGTCGATCTGTAGCACTTCAAAGAAAACAGCCTGCTTCCAAGTAAGGAGCAAAGTAAAGCAGCTGAGTTTCACCACAGACCCAGCCCTGCAGAACAGAGAGGCTTTTGTGGCTCTCACATCTGGGAGGCTAGATACGGTTATCCCTCCTATATCCCAAAACCCTAAACCTGAGAGGCCCTGTGCTTGGGGAGGAAAAATAATAACCAGCATATGAGTTAAACTGAATTTATGAGTTTCACTAAATCATGGTGGTGAAACTAGGGGGAAAAAATAAAATCCCCCGCCCCTCCACATCACCATCCACAATTCTATAAAAACTGAATAAACAAGTTGCCCAGTCCACTTCTGGAGCAGAAACTAAATATGAAGACACAGAAAATGAAGATGATGCAGGGCTCGCTCTGTTGAAGCACACCATTTTAATTAAACACTATAATATTGAATGAAAACTGATCCAATTTGCAGGGAGCTTAAGAAAAAAAAACCTCCTCGTGGCTATGAGACGACGTCACCGCGGTGCTCCACATGCTTCCACGATTATATCCATGGTTAAAGGAGCTAACGGCGGAAACTGCCTCGCCATATTGTGTGGACAAAGTAGCTAAGTGATAAAACTTTAAGATGTTAATCAGATATTCTCCACAATATGGGATTTTGTAGGCGGGGGGTGAGGGCAACTCTGAGAGGGGAAAAAAACAAGGCACGATCCTTGCGCGTTCCTCCATCACCAAATCCAGTCGCCATAGTCAAGATTTCCCTTAAAAATTATCAAACATTATGTACATACCAGCAGAATTACCACATCACCTGATGCTAATGACAACACAGTTTGCGTCAGTGTGTCGTAAATTACCAACAATTCCACATAATGTGATTACTTTGCGGGCTTTAATTAGCGCTGTCTCCTGCCAGCCTGTGCGCCTAAACTTAACTTGGCGGTTAAACAATACATTTACCGACACTGCTCTGGTGAACACGGGTAATCCAAACGCTTTAGCTGCTTTAAAAACAACTCACGGTGAAAAGTTAAAGATAAAACTTGAGCTCGTGCACCATTGTTAGCAGGAGCTAAACGGCTATACGTGATGCTGCCGCGTCTGCGCTGCCACGCTTCGTCGGTGTGTGTTATTTTACCTTCAGTTGTGATGTTAGGTCCTCTGTTGTTGAAGTTGTCGTTTATTTCGAGAGCTTTTCCTTCGTTTTGTCTTTATTAAAAGAAGGCCCCCCCGCTCTAATATCAAGCCATCCAGGTTTTTTCTCTCCTACGAGGGGCTTGTGTCCTTCCCCTGTTATGTGTTGTACTGCGGGGTGAGGACAAAGAATATTCCCAAATCCCCCCCTTTTCTCCTCCCAGTTTTCAGCCGGGCACCCCACCCCCTGTCTACGCAGAGTGGAGGAAAACGATCAACCGCCTGCATTCCTGATGCAATCCTTGCTTCGTCTTTCGTCCATAACTTTACCCTAGACTCAGAGACCGGGAATAACCCAGTGAAATCTGTTACTAACAGAGGTGCTCATGAAGGAAATTATACATGTCCTGTCTGGAGTACAAAATATATAAAGCTGTTTGAAATATATAATGCGCTTGCAGTTGAATTACACATGTACTTTCAAACAAAAGCATTTGAATTGTCACCAAAAGACCAGACACAAAACTCCTTTGTGCCTCATGTTAGAACCTGCAGGTGTTATCTGCCCGCATTGCTGAGAGCAGCAGGTGAAGATAGCAGTCACAGGAGTTTGTGTGGTCTGTCAGGCAGCAGCCCTGTCACCGTCTAACCTCTTCTGTTGGGGATATGTGGAACAACATACAACCTCCTGATAGTGAGTGCCCCTCTTCCTGCTGATACAGATGTTCGGAAGTTGTTGCCATTATAGGGCCCCTTCCTCCATGTCACACTTTCTTTGGCAAGAGCAGCACGTGCATTTCCTCAGCCCCCCCTCAGCATGTCTTTGAAGCAACATCCTACACTTAATTCTGCTCATTATTAGAAGACAAAGGGAAGTGTGTACTATTTAAAACCAGGATTTATGTCCTGGATTGGCCAGTGTCATGAATCACAAAGTGGATAGTCAGTTGCCTGAACTCAGCACTATATGGAGTTGTTATTCGGGGGAAATAATGTGGCATCTACCATCCGCACGATGCTATTAGCCTTGTACTCAGTCAAAGGTGAGATTTCCTTTAAGCAGCTGTATTTTCAGCAGGCTTGCGCTGCACTTTCCCCAGAGAAGTGACTTAAATGAGATATGTGCGGGTACCCAGATTAAATCTATTGCAAGCATCCAGTCAGAATCAGTCTGCTGAGGTAATCACTCAAATTGAATGATCACATTGTCCTTCCTGGATCTCTTGAAATGCCAGTCTTCATTGCTTATACCCTCCTCTCCAAACAAAAACGCAGACAAAGCAGATCTGCTCCACTTTCACATATTGCTTGTTGTGAATGCACTGCGAAGATAAGGGACTGTGGTGCTTTGTCTCATTTTTTGGATGGTTGGTAAAAGCACATTAAAAGCAGCAGTTATTATTTAATATCTGCTGCAAACAGGAGGTCAGTGGAGGAATGCAATGCCCTTCCCCCTTCTCGGGGAGCAGCTAAGCTCTATTGTGAACCACAAGCATGCTTTTATTCATTGGGTGTAATGTGGGGTGCCCTGCTTAAACCAAAGGACAGAGAGAAATAATCTGTAGACTGAACAGCCTGGCATCGTGTCTCCTTAACACTGAAGTTAGTTCTCTTGTTGCTAACACAGAATAAATCAATGTGTTTGCATGTGGATTCTACACTGGTCCAATTTTTTGAGCATGCATGTTTACAAGAAGATAGGAATATTAACTGTTTATCCTGAATACACACTGGGGCCAAACATCACGAAGTAGCTTGTCTGTATTTGAAAAAGACACAATTATTCGGTTAATGTGCTGTAATGGCCTCTTGAAACCAAGGTTGTTTTTTTCCTGCCTTTATTTTGAGGATCACAGTGCAGTCAGTACAGGACGAGGACCGGATACTCAGAGGAGCCTCATTTCACACTGGAGTGGTGCTATACATGTAAGGATAGCCTACATTTTATGACAGATATACAGTACGTTGGCACAGTTTGTATCCAGAGGTTTGGATGGGTGACACTATTATTAGATTAGTATTAGAAAACACATTTGTTTTTCTTTGTCTATCATCCATCCATCCATAAGCTGACGTGCAATGACCAAAAACAGATCACTCCAGAAATGCCCTCCAAAATAGAGGAAATTGAAAACACCTCATTTAGCGTCTTAGTGTCGATAGGAAAACTGATCGTTGTGTAAATGCTGATGTATGGCATACAGCATCCAGACCGGCTAAAAGCTGCTTGCTCAAGTTGCCTGTGGTTTCCCAATAGAGGAGATTTAAACATCCTTCTATTGTTGTGGTGTTTCAGTGTGGGCGTCAATGTTTTTAAAAACACAAATAGCATTTTATGATTCTTCCACATTAGCATGGATCTGGTCTAAAACTACTCGTTTGTTAATGTTTTTATGCTTCATTTATCCATATTGCTTTGCTGACAGACATTTTTCTTGTTTTACCACAAAAAATGCCTGGATTTTATGGCTGCTTACACACATTGTCCTTACAGCTCCAAGGATATGATGTTGCAACATTTAACATTTCTAAAAAGGTGAAAGGGCTTTGTTCAGGAGTTGCCCTCCTGTTTGCTTCAGAGTCTGACCCATTGTGAATCATCCCTGATGTTTGCTTTACTGACACAGACACTCACAGACACACACATACACACACACTCACACACATTCACGCACGTTTGTGACGCCTACAACTGGTTTTGTGCCTGAATGCTTGTGCAAGTTCTGCTGGTAAAGCCATAATGTTCCCCTCCTGGCAGTTGTGGCCAGATATTTTGTCAGCAGGAGGAGCTGAAATGCTCGAGAGGGTTATGAAGATTGAAAAAAATATGGCTCACACCCCAGAACTCAGTCTCTGACAGCTGTGATTGTGTTTCCTAAACTAGGAGATCATGTGTGCATTCATTGCCCTATTGCGAATGAAGGAATTCCTTTTCTCTGTGTATGACTACCATCATTGCTATAGTCACATTAGGGTTCAGTAATGCTTGCTGCATGCTCCTGCTGGTTTTAATCTTTTAACTTGCATTCTTGAGGCAGTCTCCCTGCCAAATAGCACAAGGGTGCAACTCATTTTATTAAATGGCATTAGCACAAGGTTAACCTGGCAACCGTCCAAGATGACTCTAGAAAAATGAGCAGCCATGTCTTCGCTGTGGCCCAAAAAGGAATTCCTTTCTATTGTAGCCTTTGTCCACTCTTCATGGCTATTTTCTATCTTTTACAATTCCTTTCTTTAGCCATCAATACTTATGTGAACATGACCTTCTGTTAATTTTCAGGTAGCAAATCTACCTGCATGTTTGCGGTGTTTGGCAGGTATTCACAGGACAGAGAGCAATTAAGTTCAGCAGTAAACCTAGACCACACTGTTACATTTTAATTCACAGTACAACAGGAAAGTGGAGTTTCCTGCCAGCAAGACTAATACTTTCCATCTGTGTGATGTTTAGGAGCTGTGTGCATCCCAAATAGAGCCTAATAAGGTTCTGCCTCAGATCTGGCTAACTCACTTCAACTTAACCCCAGAATATATCAAATACAGGAGGACTGGACTTGCTGTCATTGACAGAGATGAGTCCTAGACAACATTAACTCACAAAGGCCTAAATTACAACAGATTAAACAAAATGGAAAGCAAAATGTGCTGAAAGGCTAAAATGTTAAACTGCTCATGTTCAGTTATCATGCATACAGTCCCGTATATAGCAAGGAAAGTCATATACTTACAGTACTATGGCTTATGACTATGGATTCAAAGATTTGGTGTTTGATGAGCTTCATTTCAAGATAAATGGTGCCATATTAAATGAAATGAGTGCTGAGACAGTAAACGTTATGGGTCAAATAATAAAGTTAGATATATTTTTTAAGTTGCACTTTTCTGCATTTTGAGATAGGGGCTTTGTGACTTCAAGTTTGTTGCCTTTTGACAGCTGCACAAAAAATTTCCTCTGTGCAGGCTCTGAATTGTTGTCTTGTGGTTTACTGCTCCTTCCTTACCAGTTTACGACTTTTTCCTCCCTATTTCTGCCTATCAGTCCACTTCTGGGACAGTCCGCAGGAGGGGGACAGGGTGACTTAGGCCTGAAGGGGGGTGGGCAGGCGTAAGTTGCAAGGTCACCTTGTTTTTGATGGGGGAGGGGGACTGATGTTCACAATAGTGAGGTTCTATGTGAGGTTTTTTTTTTTGTGTGTGTATCTATGGTGTCCAGAGTCTTTAAAGTGCTGAAGCATCCTGTCTGTAACACCATCCTCGTTTCACAGTATGATAGTGGACAAAAAGCTACTTTATATTGTCTTTGGCTACCGATCTTGTTACAAAACCCCTCTGTCATGCAGTTAACAACCAGCACCCCTCAGTAGCATGGATGGGTTACAGTTGGAACAGACTGCACGTGGGACACACAAAAGAAGCCCCAGTGCTTATAGGGAGGAGGGGCACAGAGTTACCATGGAAACAGACAGCCCTACCCCCGTAGCAGATGGTGGTGGTGAGGGTATCGGGGGCTGGGTGTAGTGATGGCGGGACCCAGAGATGATTATCTGTCCCAGGTTACCATCCTGAAACAACAGCTTGTGTGTGTCTTCTTAACAAAACAGGTGGCTTCAGTTTGTGTTAAATTGTTTTTTAACGTAAGAAGGAATCTTTGTCTATGTGTTACAGGAAAAGATGAGTTATTACATATCAAATTTAAAACACTGGCGGGTTTGCAACCACCTATTTAATTGGTTTAGTTCTTGTTTTTTTTGTTCTGCAAACACTGAAATTGTTGGCTCTAAAATGAACCTGTAAACACCAGTTTTAACTGTTTAACTATGTTGAAACATTGTGATTGAAAGGGTCATTGGCCGCTGCAATCATTCCCTGCTTGCATCACAGTATCAGAGATATGGGTAATCCACAGTTCTTGTTTGTTTGTACAAAAAACACTATTAAGTTCATCCAAAGCTCTGACATTTCAGCGGTCTGAGTCAGATCAACCAAGCAGGTCTCATTCAGATTCAAGGTCTTTTTAATACAAATTTGTATTAAAATTTGTGTTTCCCTGACTGTGTTTGATGGATGGTAACACAAAGACTTGAGTATGAAAATTTCACACTGAAACAAAAACAGTAACTTTGGAAGACAACCACATCATTGATCGAGCTCAGGCTG